CACCAGGGGAGGCTCGTCGGGCTAGAAAGAAGGAGGTGGGGGTCACCTGTTTTCAGAAATTACATTAGGGAGAAAATGGCCGCCGAAGAGTAGTTATTTCCTAAGCTTATGAGTTCGTGGTAACTGAAAATTTAGATTATTTGTGCCTTCAATCAACGTTTTTCAGAAAAATCCACACATAAATGAGTTCTTTAACGGGCATGAAAGGTGTTGAGACAAAAAAATTTGATAAAAATGCAGAAACCTGCGGAAAAATGCAAGTTTTTCTTCACTTTCTTTATTTTGACGAGAGCCTGATTCCACCACGCTGCCTCACATTTTACTATCTTTGGGAATTTGAGGACAAAATACTTTTATTTTCATTTTCTTCTTCTCTCTTTGATTCCTAGAACTAAATCTATTTGTTAGCCTATGGTCAGCTTCGTTAATCCTACATAGAACCTGAACACTCAAGTAAGAACACTTTTACCACTGTAAACCAGCCAAAGGCTCAACCAAGCGGTGACCGAACTATGCCATTTTTTACCTCACGGTCACAGAGCCGGGGAAAGACCTAAATTGGTTGAGTTTAAGCACAAGGGGGATATCCCGAAAAATGCAGTTTTGTCCCTTGTTAAGTTTCTTTAAAAGACAAGGAGAGTTTTCTCTATAACCAGACAAATATACACAGCAAACTTCTCCTATAGGTAGGACAATGCCCACTTTTGATGAAGGTCAAGATTTCTGGAAACCCCCGAAATCTTTTTTTGCCCGCTTGTCCTTAAAAGCGACCAACGAATAGCGAGGCAATGAATCCACCCCAATCCACTTGAGTAACCCGCTGGACTACTCCGGGGCTCACATTATGGAGGCATGGAATGCCGCACAGTGTTTTATCTCATTGGATGCGCACTTTCTGGTCATTCGTCAACGCTTCAAGTTGAAGATGCTCTCTTTTGTAGCATAACTTCATCGGTAAAACATATTTTTCTGTGTCATTTTCTTTATCTGAAACGTTAAAAGGCTTGAAAAAGTATGCATGCTATGATATAGGCAAAAATATTTTTCTGAATTGTATAATGATGGTTCAAAATTTGTCAAAACGTTGACTTTGCTCTACAACTGATCGGACAAATGTGTCTGATACGCCCACAAAGAGTTATCGTGTTTATTTCAGGACTGCCTGCTGCGGGCTATGTTTCGGCAGGTGCACATTTAAGATTTGCCGTCTAATTAATTTTTATGTACCTCTAAATTCGCCATGTGTGTCGTCATTGATTGGGGTTTGGCTAAAGAGCAATTTGTATATCAGATAACCACTACTGAACATCCTATTACGTCTATTAAAAGCAAGACGACTTTGGTATGGCGAGGTAGATGTTTTACGGCACTATAGACACAGTGATGGGCTATAAGGCGCAAACGAGGACCTTGTAGTCATACAATAATTATCATGTTAGTGTTTGTTGCTGTCTTTCTTTATTTTCTATTTGTAGGTGCTTTATGCAATAGTACATTAATAACTTTCGGGCCTCAACGTCTCAAGCATCACCAAAACAATTCTAGCTTGTAGGAGTAACTCCTACATTTGTATCTCGAAGACCTTCCAACATTGCCAAAAACTGCTCTCTCGTTTCCATATAACTTATTCTCCTCCTCATCCCCCCAGGCGCCTCCTCGGCAAGCCGCTACAACGAGCTGTACAACTGGGTCAGCGGAAAAGCTTCCCCAGGATTCCCCCAACCCGACGACTCCGGACCCCTGGACGTGGACATGCGTCTGACCAAACTGGACATCGTTGGTGTGGACAGTGCCAACAACCTGGTCACTTTGATCGCCAGAAGAAGGGTTCTGTGGGCTGACCGTGATTTGGCCTTTGACGAGGCCACGTACAACGTGTCCTGTGTGTATGCTGCGGCCACCAACATCTGGACTCCTGACAGTACCTTCTACAACTCTGCTAGCCAGGAGCAGGTGTTGAACCGTGAGGTCATCGTCTTTGCCGGAGGTGAGTTGCTGGAAATTGCCAGAGTCCAGGTCAGCATCAACTGTGACGTGAGTGGTGTGAACACCTACACTGGCGCCACCTGCCACCTCCAACTTGGCTCCTACGGTTTGGGAAATGAGCTGGTGCGTCTGAGGGAGCCCAAGGACAACTGGACCTTTCATCTGGAGTCGGCTTTCAACGGAGCCTCTCCCTACGAGCTTCTGTCTGGTGATGTCAGCAGATCTGTGGAGCCCTACGCTTCCGGTGACCCCGAGCAGCATTACTATGATGCCCTGACCTTCACCTTCAGCTTCAGAAGGAAGTAGGGCGGTCAGTAAATCTGATGTGAGTTGATCAGCTCCTGTCTGTTTGGATTATGGAATTTGCTGCAACTGTCTCCCTTACTCATCAAATGAAATGGGGACAGTACCTGCATTTGTTGGTTTCAGTATAGTTCATAATATTTCAAGTTTTGGTAACATTTTCGAAAACTGAATCCCATTTTTTCTGCTTGGATCTTTTGAAATAAACAAGAACAATTTTCATGTTTATTGTCTTGGTTTTTACAGTATTATTAATTTACGTGACTTGTTTTGGTATCTGCTCCTTCTTTCAAATTACCGTTATCTGTTTTGCTAATTATGTTTTCTGTTGCGAATTCACATTTGTTTATCTGCTATATTCTGGTGGGGCAGGAGGATAGGATTTGTCTCTATTGGTTGCTAGTTTGTTGCAATTCTTTTTAGTTTTAAGTGCAATGTTCATGATGACACAAACAGAAATGGTGAAGGATTAATCACTTTTGAATGTCCGTGCTATGGCGGCTATGTCTCTAAACAACAGGTATTACTTTCGGACACAGTTTTACTGAAAGAAACACAAAAAAGCTATTAATAGTTCACTCATCTCTTCTTCGCGTGCTCATATTATGACCTTATGCAGTAGCGAGCGCCGTAAAACCCCTAACTAAACTAAACTAAAAAACTCATCTCTTTCACTGAGCTTTACACAGTCACATTATAGAAGGAGCAAAGAGGACACCACACGCGTACATCCATTCGATTCCAAATATCAATAAATAATAGTAATAAAAATAAATTACGTTTTTATTGATCCCAGGAGGGCAATGTACATACATACATACATACATACATACATACATACATACATACATACATACATAC